GTACAAATTTTAATTAAATTAACAAAAATTTTAATTTTTTTTGTTGAATTTTTTAAAGTATTTTCTTATCATTTTTATAATAAAAAAGTTAATTTATCCATGTTTATACATACACATGTATGTATGTACTATATATTTTTTTAAATTGTCTGCGCTCAATTTGCTGCTTTTCACTTTTCATACACGAGCACACAGATACATATGTACTAGTGCAAACAGCAATAGACAACGTCGATTAACGGGCTATGTACCGTTTGTCGTTCTTGTTTTTGCACCAAGCACACTTGAATCTATTGCCTACATTTAGGCACACAATGCACAGAGGTTGCGTGCACATGAATTGATGTCAAGGGAAACTCGCGTTTTCACGCTGAGAGTCATAACTTGCGCGAAAAAAATTATAAACTACCACTTGCATGTGCATGTACATATGTGTTTGTATATGCACATACATATGCAAAACTATCTATATGATTTTTTTCAAGCACGTGCTTGGTGTTGTGGGGCCTAAATGCAGCGTTTTCCGCGACAGATAGCCAGATTTGCAGGGCTTTTTGTCAGCATGTATTTGTGTATTGACTTACACCCACTCACATACACTTAGTCTCATTTGTACGTGTGTACGGGGTGTACGTTTTTCACATCGCGTGCACCCAGTGCTGTTATCCTTTGAGCTCATCAATAGAAATTCCCCGCTCGCATCTACACACACACACACACACACCGGCTGCGCTTTCGCATAAAAAATGCGCCATTGTGGAAAAAAGGCTGTGAAAGTAAAACAACAGCAAACTGCCCTGGCTGCCAGGGCTGCCATTGTTCTAATTAACGCCAGCAGGCATTTTGTTGTAATTTTTTTGTTAAGCGTCATCCGCACCCTGAGCTTCCGCCATGCTCATTCGCTCTTGCCATTTGTCCTTTTGTTGTTGTAGCTGTTGCTGCCGGACGCGGCGCGTCGACATTGTGCTGGATTTGTTAGTTTTGAAAATTGGAGCAGTGCATGCCCAATGTTATGTGCATAACGGTATCACGCACACAGCTACATGTAGCAGTCGCAAGCGCTCAGCGCCTATAGACCGACTTAAAACTAACGCGTTGCGCGCCTTATTTGCATTTCGTGTGTCATATTTTTTTTTTCTTTTTCCTCAAAGAAGCTTATATAGCTTTATCTGTGTCGACTGATTGCATTTGCCTGACAACAAAACTAGTCGATTTATTATTGAGGAATTATTACGGGATTTTGAAGGGGGTTATTGAAGTGGTAGGTTGAAGGATTGCGGGGCCAAGAGCTATTAATTGTATCTATCTTTCATGAGTAGTGTAGAATTCTTGTCTCACGTCTCGTAGGCAACACTCCTTTTAAAGCTATAAGTGCCGGAGTGTAGTATATATTCAGGCGCAAGCCACTCAGCAGCAAGCGAAGCTGCACGAGGGTTGTATTTTCAATTTTAAAACCGTAGTTTTTTCAAATTATAAATTCATCAAAAATATTTCTTTGTTAACCAATTTTTTTTTTACAATTTTAAACCACTAGTTTTTTCGAAAATTGAACTGTTTTTTCAGCGCTGTTGCCATTTCAAAGTTTTTTAAGCTCCAATGTATGTCAACTGCCAACTGCAAGCGCTTTGCGTGGAGTTCATAAAACTAATGCAGTGCCAACTAACTTCTAAACATTTTCTTTATTTTATTTTTTTCTTGTTTAAATGTTAGTTTTGCATTTCCATCATCAAAATGAAAGTAAAATTTCCACAAACTATTATTATTGTTGTTGTTTTGGTTTTCGTTATATTTGTTGCTCTCGTTGGCATTATTAAGTTTTTTTTTCAGAGTAGATTAGTGCATGCGCCAATAAAGGACACTTATCTGTTGGTAGTAAAATTTTATGACTGCGTAAATGAGTGGTTACAATGACGAAAGTGGGGCATTACTTTGAAGAGGGGGGAAGGTATGGCAAGAAAAAAGTTTGTTCTTGAGAGTTAAGAAAGGAGAAGACTAGAAACTGCTGTGCGTAGTTAAAGCTTTAACATTTGCGGGCTAAAGTTCCACAGTCTAGAAAAAGGTAAAAAATTTTGCTTACTTTTAGACGCAAACTTTTATATTTTCTAATTGTTTACACTCTATTTTTTTTATAGTTTTTCGTTTAGAGTGCATCATAGAGCAATAAAAACTGACATAATGAAAAATTGGGGTATATGTTTAGGTGATAACTATGGTTATATTGTCATATATAACTTTCTTACCGTATGAACTCTACTTTTTTTTAGTATTATTTATTTTGTGTACTTTAATTTTTTATTAAAATTAGTTTTGCTTTTAAACAATAACGAGGAAAACTTCTGACATTATGAAAAATGAGGTATACTTTTAGGTGCTAACTCATGATTTTATTCATTTCCATTCATACTTTTATCACTTTTTATTTAGTGGAGAGGAGTTATAACTGACATTATGAATACATGATAAAGTATGAGTATAATTTTAGGCTATAATTTCGTCTTCTTTATCACTTTAACTATTTCTCATTCTTAGACCACATCTCAAAAACTGTACTTACATAGTTTTTAGTGTTTTACTGACCACTAGTGATGCTTTTTTTATAACATTAGGAAAATATATAGTCTACTCATAGGCGCTAACACGTATTGTATTACGGTAGGTTATTTAACCAACGTTTTAAATCGTTGTGACATATTTTTATGCGCTTTAATGTGTTTACTATTTCGCTGAAGAGTTGCTGAACTGAAGTGCTACAAAGGCGACACCAAAAACAACCAAAAAAAAAAAATTCACAAGAAATTTTCGCCCAAATATAGGCCATCGTTACCCCAACGAAAAGTTGTTGCTCACTCCATACTTGTTTTAGTTTTTGCTTTTATATTGAAAACTATCGTATCGTCGTGGTCTACCGCAAATGGCAAGGCAGTTCTTTATAATAAAGGCCAAACACAAGCAAATGACCTCATAAAAGCCACATTTATTTAATGGTGCTGCAACAGCAGTTGTTGATTGTTGAGGTGGGGCAGGAGGGTTGGTTCGAAAACCGGAAAAATGAATGCAAACAGCGCAGAATTATACAAAAATAAATGTTTATATGTATATGTACGTCTGTATGTGTTCTCAGCGCTAAGCTAACCGGCGCGGTTGTCAAAGTAATAAGCCTCACATATACATACTGACATTTCCTCACAAATACTTATGTATATAAAAATACCTCATGTCTAAGTGGTGCAAGTAGTGGCAATCTACTTGACAGTCCACATATTAAATACGCCACGAAATACACTGTTGAGTGCTGCCGTAAAAATGCAGCAACTACAAAAAGAACAATAGCCGAATAAATATAAAATATCTAAATAAAAATAGAAGCGATGAACAATGGCAAAGCAAAGCGTCCGAAAAGAGACGAAAAAGAAAGAAACAAACAAACAAATATCCCTTAAATGTGTTCGTTTTCGTTACACACAAGTGGCTGTTGTGTCGGTGCTGAAGTCCATGCTGTTGATAGCTCACCGGGGTGTGCTTCACGAAGGCTCCGACGCCCACACCGGCAAAGCACGCTAGTGTCGAGTTAGTGCTTGACGCACGGTGGGCGATGGGCTAAAAAACTAACTGAGCTGATATTTGTGAAAACATATATTTGTTACGCTAAGTTGAAGAAGGTTAAGTTTTGACATCGCTCACTTTTCAAATAACATGAAATTGTGATAAAATATTAATATTTAACTGCTGAATTAAAAATTACGCTTATGGGTAATTTCAGCCATACGATTCAGTAACCGCTAAAAGCAGGCAAAAATATATTGTTATTAACTTTTTTGATGGAAAAACGATGTTAGAAAGATTTCCCTCAAAGGGTAATTTTCAAATATTTTATAATTGTGCAGAGCATAATATGCAAGTGAGATTTTTTATCTTATATCACTGCTAATTTAAAATTACCCGTCTGAGAAATTTTAGCTTTGTTATTCAATGAGCGCTAAAAGTTTATTGTTACAAAAAATTTTCCCTTAGGAGTGTATTTATTGTATAAATTGAAATTTCTCATACAGTCCCAGGTTTTTTTTTTTGTTTGCTACTGAAACACTACTGTTGAGCGCTTTGAATTTTTGTATTCTGCATTTTTTCGAAAATCATACTTCAACATCATCAAGTGACAAACATTCAAAATCACTGTGCGGGCGAAGGTGTACTCCAGAGTGAAGTCTACAATTAGGGTCATTTGATATGCATAACTCTCTAGCTACACACATGTTGAAAACATGCCACGCCATGAATGGCTAACCATGCGAGCACACAAATACAAACGCACATACATATACATTAGGAGCGTGGCTGTCATGAGTGGCGCCGTTTGTGCGCTCATCAAAATTTTAGCACACTTTCAGGCACAAAATGGTATTAGCTACCTTTGAGCTATAAATATTTTCACGGAAATCATTTTTCAAAGCGTAGCTTGTTGTTCCTTTTCACCAGCGCGACTGCAAGTATAATAAATACCCATTGCAGCACTGTTATTTTATTTCACTTTAGTTTTGTTTTCTTTATTTAGTTCTGGTTTTTGGGTTTTTGGTGTTACCAACTTACCATGCCCACTTGACGGCACATAAATTCATGCGGACGCATGCAGAAATCGCCCGCTGCCACTGAGGATGCCAGGTAAATGCCCGCCAACAGCCAACAGATGATAATACAAAATAAACCGGATACGCTGAAGAAGATCAGCGCACAGCGCGAACGACGCGCCACACCAATCACCAGTATAGTGCAGAGCAACAGCAATAACGTGAGGAAACCGAGTGTAACGGGCCAACGGATTGATTCGTATAATTCCCCGAGCTGAAAGTAAAGGCAGAGTAGAATTTTGGCTTTTAGAATTTAAATGCTTAAAATGAGGTTTTGTTTGTAGCGGTGTTTTTGAGTTTAATTTAATTCTTAACTCACTAACGGCCAATTTAACATACTTACATATAATAATCCCATTAGAGATGTATCATTTTCACTGCCTTTCGTTTTCATAAAGTATAAAACCATATTATCGAGACTGGTAACGGCTCTGGAGGTGTTTTCGCGCACCAATTGACATGTGTCTATTAGCAACATAACGGCGGTTTGATTATATTGTACTTTTTCGATTTGTTGTTCGAGCTTGTGTTGCGACATTTTCATTTCGAGATCAAATTTGATTAATTCAGTCTGAAAGAAAATGGAAAAGTTGCAGAAAATTATTAAAAGAAATAGTATAAAAAGTGTAGGAAAAAATTATTATTCTGTATTTTCAAATTTCTCTTTGAGGACATTTTTTAATATTGAAATAAAACTTATTATGTTATTAGGTTACAGCAAATGATTTTTATTTTGCATCACTATCTATTTTTATTTATGCCTATATTTATGATATTTAACGTTTGTATGTAGTTAATATTGTATTTGTTTAAATTTCCTTCTTTTTAAAAAAATTTCGCCGTCAGGGAAATTTTAAAATGTGGTCTAAATTTCGTAGTTGAGCGCTCTATAAAACAAATATTAAAATTTTAACTGATTACAAAAAATACCCTGCAGGGAAATTTTAAATATTTTACGTAATATAATGTAATAAGACAAATTTAGGCTGAAGCTATTTATATATTACATTATACATACATATGTATATTTCAAACAAATTTAATTTACGTGTAAAACGTTTTTTTTTATAAATAAATAAATAAAAAGTATTTTCATAAAGCTTCAATACATACATATGTACATACGCGCTTTAAAATATATAGAAAAAACGCTAAACTTTTATTTAAAAATTTTCTGCTATTTTTTCTTTTTTCTCATAACTTCCAGTGATATTATGATAATACAACATTTCATTATATATCTACATTAAATCATAACAATTAGAAAAAATTGTAATAGATTTACATGTTAAATTTGTGTAATTTTTTCTTTCAGTGTGTTCATGTGCCAAGGTTTGAGAGTGATCTTGTATATGCAGAAAGCAGAGCTTAAAGCAGCGAACACTCAAAACAACAAATTATTAATTGGAAAAGACGATAAATGCTTAAAAATATCACAATTGTGGAAAATAAATAGTATGCCATTGATAACTGTAATAATTGTGAAGGAAATTAAAAAAAATTTCGTATAAACAATAACAATAAAAAAATTGCAGTGAAAATAACGGATAAAAAGCACATCATATTTGTGCACGTTTGAACATGAAGTATTTGTAGAAGTTTGAACAAACTAAAATGTAATAACGATGAAAAATATTGTGCGCGATTAATAATACAAGATAGTAAATCAGAAGTAGAGTGTAGTGGGTGAAAAGTGAAGTGAAAAGGAAAAAAAAAATTGGGGAAAATTTCAATCTTCCCAAGAAAAAAGCAGTAGAAGTATAATAGAAATAAGTGAAAAATAAAGTAAAAAAGTAATATGTATGCATGTGTAAATCAGTGCAAAAAAGGTAAAAATTTAGGTTTGCTATTATTAGCGTGTTACGAAAAAGTAAAGAAATTAGTGAAAAAGTGAAGGAAAAGTTAAATGTACACACAATGTGAATGTCAAAAAGAGGAAAGTTAAAATTTCCCAATTAGCCTTTGAAAGAATAAAAAATAAGAAATAGATTAAAAAAGTAAAATGTAGTTATGTGTGTGTAAATAATGAAAAATGTTTATTCAAGTAAAATATAAAAAATTAAATAACAAAATATAAAAAAATGAAATAACAAAATATAAAATAAAAAAATATAATATATAAAATAAATAATATAACATATAAAAAAATATATGTAAAATAATAAAAAATATAAAATTATAAAAAAAAATATTTTATTTATTTATAAAAGATTATACAATGTTAATAACATATGTATGTACAACCTAAAACATGCAGCGCTAGCTTCAGAGGCTATCAGCTGTAAAAAAAATATAAAGTAATAAAAAAATAAAAAAAATATATATATATAAAATAATAAAAAAATAGAAAAAAGTGCAAATAAAGCAAAAAAAGTAAAAAATGTGTGTGTGAAAAGGTGAAAAGTGCTAAGAAAAAAAGTAATAAAAAATAAGGCCAAATATAAAATGGCGTTTTTAAAAATAGAAGTTAAAATAAGTGGTTGTGCGTAAATAAGAAATAAGGAAAAATTATATCTTCCTAAGTGTGTTATGTATAAAAAAAAAAGTATCAAAAAAGCGGTTTTGTGTCTCAATGAAAAAACTTAAAAATTCAAAAAGAGACCAGAAACAATGTTAATAAATGAACGTAAATTGAAAGAATGTTGTGTAATGAAAAACACGCATCGCCTGCGGTTAGCGGATATCAAATCCAGTGTGAACGGTAAGTTTGCTAACTAAATTAATACAAAATATAATATTATCCCTAATATCTACATAATATTGACTCTGAGGCGTAAGACCTTTAATGCTCAAAACAAAATTTGACTTTATATTGCCCAATTTATGTTGTTGGACACTTGTGAAGCTTCTTTAATATAATTATATAATTTTGTCTTTTGCACTCAACACTCTCGTTAAATTTTTCACTTATTTTGATTTTTGATAAATACGAAAGGCTAAATATTTGCCACATTTATGCGACTTGACGAGTTGGAAAATTTGCCACATCATCATCCAACTAGCAGCGGAGTTATTTAGACTTCAAAACTGGCGTACATGCACACAAACAAATGCACTTTCATACAATACACTTCCTTTTTAGATTGGCAACCCCTTAAGTTGGCAAATACTCAGGCTAGAAGCCGCCACAACATCAACCGTTATGGCAAGGCAATGCTGCACTGTAGATCTTTGGAAAATCAACGCATGAAAGTAGTATAGCTGGGAAAAGTTGAAAGAAAACTTAGCGGTTGTGGCAAGCTGACAGCAACGTGGCACAAACTATTTTCATAAGTAATTTCTCAAAGGACACATATAAACAAACGCATGCGCGGCTGGCATATGTATCTGAAAGTGGCTACAGCTGCCGAGGCAGGCAAGCGTTGCACATATGAGTGTCCCAGGGCAGCATATGAGAGCTGTGGAGTATTTGTAAAGTTCTATGCATTTCTTTATTAAATAGACAGAAATATTTTCGCTGTCTGTGTGCTTATACATACCATATAAGTATGTATATATTTATAAATATATATGCAAGTGCTCTGCGTATTTGTTGTGTGCGACAATACTTGCAAACAAACTTTATAACAACTGCGTATCCTAAAGGGCATGCACTGGTTCCCGAAAATAAATAAAAAACAGATAAGAAGTTGCCAAAGTATACAAAGTAAGTGTAATAGCAACTGATGGATTTATTTGAAATTTTAATATTTTCCGCTTAAAACTTACACACAAGTGCTCTTTCTTCCTTCAGTGGAGTTATAGAAAATAGCAATAAAATTGATAATAAAATTTAAATCTGACAAATCTTTTGTTAAAATGTGCTGCTCGATACCAGACAGTAACAAAATTTTTATTTAAACTTAAATCTGGCCATTATTTTTTTTTAAAGTGTTACAGAAAATTTCCCACCAGGAAAATTTCAAGTGGCTCGTATGAAATAAAATAATTTTTGTCTGTTTATTTCAAAGCTAGTGTTAAAACGTTAAAACGACATTACAAAAAAATTTCCCATAAATATAAAAATCCCAATTCTTACGATTACTACATTTAGCATTTAAAATCTTTTAAATAATAATATTAATAACTATAAAAATAATTAATAACAATGTAAACAAGAAGAGTAAATAAAAATTAAATTCTTTCAGGGAAATTTTGGAAAAAACAATATTTTTTCATATGCATTTTAATTTTTATTAGCAACATTAGTGTTTGTTTAAAAATAAATGTAAAGTAATATATGTAAGAATTCAAAAATTTTTACTTCAAAAATGTTAAATTTTATATTTGAAAAATGCCGCAAAGGAAATTTTAGAAAAAGCCATATTTGTACAATAACCCAATTATATAGTATATTTATGGATGGAAATGATTACTAAATAATATTTATATATTTGTGATTGTAGTACAATTAGGAAATTTTAGGGATATCTTTGCAAAAAGGAAATTTGTTGGTATTTTTTAATTATATTTATTTTAATGTTAATAAAATTGGCATATTCTTGCATTTTCCATAATAAATACCAAAGGAAAATTTTAGGGATGTTTTTGAAAATTGGTAAAATTGTTAAGTATTTTTTGTAATTATTTACGGTTCACCTCTGGATTAATGCGGGTATTTTATTTTTTTAATTTCTCAATAAAATTAATTTAATACATTTTTTCACATACCATAGACAGTTTTTTAACTACATGCATACAATATATGTACATGTGTATATCTAATAAGTTTTTCACTATTTTTCTTTCAGACTTCAACACTTCAAACTCCTGAATTTTACGACTAATGACAAACTGTGAAAAAGCAACGCTGGCAGAAAAATTCACATGTGAGTGCATTTATATACTTACTTCTTACATATATGTACACATACATACATATGCGCATGTTAATTGCATATCCCTGCAAAAATACCCATACACACCTGGATTTATACCTTCCATACATATAAATTCATGTAAACAGTTTTTAGTTAACGGCAGCGTTGAGGAGCGCATTCCTACCCTCACCCACAGATTTGTTTGTATGTGTGTATTTACATATACATTTAATGTTCTTGTGAATGTATGTATGTATATGGCCATCAACACCTCATTTCGGTACACTTCATTAAACTATAGACGGCTTAAGCGTGTCGTAGTCGCTGTACGAGCATAGTTTGGCTGCAGCTTAATGGCGTTTTTATTTTATTGCAATTAAAAGTGACGCGCTACATACACAGACATATAAGTAGTGGGTGTATGTGGCGCGCCTTCTCCTACAGTTTTGCATACAAATTTGTATTAAATGCACACACATACAAAGCAATGAATGCCTTGTGCCTGTTTCCTTGTTAACATATTGGTATAGGAGCACGTACAAAAAACCGTTTACTTGTCGTAAGCTGAGTCACTTGTCATGTTAACTAAAGATTAAAATATCCTTTCATTCGCCAAGCCATGCCACGACTGTTCATGGCGTTGCCAGTGTCCTTTTTGTGTGCCAATCCAGCTTTTCTGTCATCACTACAACCTTTTGCGCTATGTAAACAAGCTCATGCAGCCGCCAGTAGTCAACTTTCTATGACTGTATGTGTGTGGCTTAACAAGTTTTGGCGCAACGCTGAATGCGGCATACGATCTCGCTCCGTGGTCCTGTGTGTGGCTGCCGTGTTGCTGACACATCATTGCGGAAGTGTAAAAGCGTAAATTGGAGCGGTAGCAGTGGCAACAACAAAACTAACAGACTCAGGAATATAGCAGCGTAATGACAGCCGCGACAACAACAACAGCTGGTAGCATCGTAAAAATCATATTTCATATTAACACCCTACTCCGGTGCGCAGTTACAAGCAGCTGAATAAGCGCGAAGGCTTACTAAACATACATATGTACGTACATGAATTTGTACATTCATACTTATGTACACACATACGTACATACATCCACATATTTATGTGTGCATCGTATACTTTGTTAGTTCCCGCAGTAGCGTCTAACGAAAAGCTCTAGTAATCCTGCCTGTATGCAGTCTTTTGGGATACCAAAAGCTTGATTATCCACTTACTTAATCACGTACGACTTGCTAAGTAAATCTACACGCCAACTTGCTTATATAACTGTTAACCTATTTCTATACCTTACTACCTAAATTTAATTCCACTCCAATGTACAAGTACAATTTTATGCGGCGTAAACGCACTTTTTAAATTTGTAAATACTTGACTAAAATAAAATTTCTAAATACACATCTCACTTTGTCCAATTTATCTTAAAATATAAATTTTGGTATCATAACTATTCGCTAAAAAGCATTTATTCTATTGAAATAGAGCTAATAGAGTGCAAATCTCTTTATAAAACAAAAAGTAAAAAATTTCCCTTGATGGGAAATTGACAAAAGGCAACAAAATTTAGGCTTTAGATGCTTGAAAAGTCCATTTATGCCCGTTTTTCCACTGATTAAAAAATTTTCCCTTATAGGAAAATTTTCGAAAAGCTCCTAAATTTGCTTTGAATACAACACAGGAAAGTGATGACGGTTTTTATTTTAAATAAAAAAATTTCCCTCATATGAAAAGTTTTGAAAATCGAACATAAGCGTTTCTCAATAAAGTAGTTAATTTTAATACAAGTTTGCAAAGTTGAAAGTTTCCGGCAAATAATCCAGATGCTTGTATGTACATATGTATGTATTATATTTATAATTGTATAAATTTGCGTCTATAAGCGCATAGCTATTTCCATAAGCACTGTTGTGCCGAGTCTGCTAATTAAGTGGTTGTCATTACCAATAATTAAAATACATTAGCGCACAGGTGTAATATATGAGGCAGCGGATTTCAGAAAACCATGAATTTGTAGAGTAATTACAGAGCAATCAGTATACTAAATATACATATGTATGTACATATACATATATGTATGTACATACATACATACATATATACATATTATGTACACAAATGTATGTGTAAAAATGTAGATATTTGTAAATGCCTAGTTACTTGAAATGGTAATTCATAGGTAATTATGCTGTTTTAGTGAACTTAAGTTCTGAGCAGTGCTTACAATGAATGGGTATATAATGTGGACTTCATATTCGAATTTATTTTAAAATATATGTTTTATAAATAATATTTTATTTTTTAAGCTTAAAATACTTTTTAGAAAAATTTCCCTCGAGGGATGTTTTTGGGGAAATTTAATTGAATTTAAAAAAAAAGTTTTATATTACAATTGGCTTACAGTCGTTGTTTTAATTTTATATATACTCTAATATATATGTATGTGTGTCAAGCATAAATTTTTTCAAAATTACAAGCGTTAGTGCGTTGTCCGCAGTTGACGTCTAGTGAACAAAGCGGTATATTTGTTAGTACCATTCATCTAATTTCCATATGTGCTTTCAAAATTATTAAATTACTGATTGTTTGCTAATTGAGTTAGCAGTCAGTTTAAATATTCAAAAAGCTGAGTTATTATATATGCACATTTTGGCATTATTTCCAGCAAAAAACTAGCAAATGTTTGTGAAAATATTATATAACTCTACGTGTCTAAAATTTTCTAAAAACTACTATTTCTTCTAATCTGTCTCTGTGTGTGTGCACTTGTCATATTTGTTTTGTAATTGGGACGTTTCCAATCTGATGACTATATTTGAATTTTAACAAAAAATCATACATATGTATGTATGTTCTTACATAGGTATATACATGTGTACAAATGTATGTTATACATTTTTTTCAATAAATTATTTTTTGTGATCGCCAACGTTGCAATTTCCGTTCCAATAAAAATTGGTTGTGACTAATATTAACATCAATTAGCGATAATTTATTGATACAGTAAATATAAATTTTACATTGAGCTTAAATTAAAGTTCAGTACTTCAAGCTATTGCTTGTTAGTTTAAAGTCCTACATGCCGCACACAGCTGTGTACTTTTCTTTCTCATTTTTTTCCAATTTTTTATGTTGCGGGCACCTGTCATTTGCCGGCACTGCATAACCAAATATTTTTATCTCACATTTTCCCAGTCACTGCATTTATTTTATTTTTAATCTCTAACTACACTTGCTTCCTAATTTAAACAATTTGCGTTTTCTCTCTGAAGTTTTCCGGTGCAAGTCTTTAGGTATTTCTCTTGCTCTACCAACATTCGCCCTTGCAAACTTTTGCTAGTTTCGAAGATGATTTCGGCAAAGTAGGTAGTCAGAAATGCACATGCATTGCTGAAGTATTTTCCAACTACACATTGTTGGCTGTCAACTTCAAAAGGCTTTTTTTGTGCTTCGAGCAGTCAGTATAAGCTGCTTTGTTAATTTTACGGGTCTTGAAGAGCGGATACTGCATACATACTATATGTACGTTTGTTTGTGTATGGTCTGCTCTTTCTCTTTGCCATCGTTAAATGCTCATTTGCATAAGGTATGTGAAAGAGTAAAAGATGAGCGCTCACAATGCCAGTTGGGGTTTTCCAAAAAAGTACAGAAGCATTCAAATCTACCAACTTGCCTCAAAAGACTCCTCAACACTTTTTCACGTGATACAATCATACCTTAAAGTAAAGAAATAAGCGAAATGATAGCAAAATTTTCCAGCAGCTAGCTAGTGAAATCAGTAGCAAATATTGCACTGCAGCGCCAACAGAACACAACAACAACATGCACAGTTTGAAAATAAAGATAAAAAGAAATGCGATCGAAGCACACGGGCAGAACTGGCAAACGATGGCGCTGAAGCAGTTGATGCATGCAGCTAAAGGGAATTTATATTGTAGAGGGCAAATGAAGTTCCAGGAAAAAATCAAATACACCTCTGAACAACAAATATAAATATTCGTATAGTAAAAAGCTTGATACTGAGTGTTCAACTAAATTACAAAAAGTTGCACGTTTCTTGTTGCATACTTTTAGGTGCAAAAACCAGTTACATTAGAGTTGCGTAGGCACTGCCGACATTTTGGTAGAAAAGTTGATAGAAACCGTGTTAAAGCTCCGAATTATAGAACGAGTTATAAAGAGAGTGAATGTGGGAGAGAAATAGCGCCAGGGAAGGTGGGAGTAAATGTTGAAAAAGGTGATAGCAAAACAGAGTTGTTATACGTATATTAGTTGCGTTTCTATTTGCGACTTTATTAAAACATAAAGTATTGTATTTGTTTTTATTTTTTGCGAAAAAGATACATTTTCTGGTTGCCAATATTAATAATGCTATCTTCAATAGTCAAAGCGCATATTTAATTAAAGTATCTTTAGCGATGGAAATGATTTGAGCATATTAACCAATTAATTTGGACCAAAAATTCTAATAATATTGTTAATGCACGAACATTTTGACATTTATTATTAAAATATGTTTTTGTACATTCTTTGGGAATTTTTGTAAATTAGTAGGCATATATGATTTTTAAAATTCCAACGTCTGATTGCTTAAAATACCGCATATTTTGTAAATTTCCCTTTCGGTTTTTTTTTTTAATTTGCATTTTGGTTAGTATATGAATAGTTTTGCATAAATAAAGTTAATATGCAGGTATGGGAAAATATTTAGCCTAAACTAAAAATATTCCTGACAAGGAAATTTTACTGATTATAATTTTTCAGCATTTTTGCTGGTGCTTTAAATTTTATTCACATACAGCAAAAATGTCTTTCTTGCGGTCGAAATTGAGAGTTATAAAATGTTTTTTCAATAAATAATGTTAAGATTTCGGCAAAATTTCATTTTAGGGATATTTTAAGAATTTTGAATTGTTCCTAGTGCTAAATACACAAGTTGACCACAAATTTCCGTTTAGGGATATTTTGTGAGACAACTGCAGTTTTCGGGAATAAAGTGCTTT